CCCGCCAACATCTGTCGTTTCCTGACTTGTTAATTTTAGCCATTCTGACTGGTGTGAGATGGTATCTCACTGAGGTTTTGATTTGGATTTCCCTGATGCCAAGCGATGTTGAGCACTTTTTCATGTGTCTGTTGGCCATTTGGATGTCTTCTTTGGAAACATGTTTGCTCATATTCTCTTCTAATGCTAAGGAAGTTTCCTGTTATCCCCATCATTGATATTTTCCTCCCATTATAGAATATGGCCAAATGCAGACACTGCCTGCAAACTACCTTCCTAAAGGGAATATAGAGGAGTCCCCACTTCCTTAGGCCTGAGTCAATGTCTTTTTCTTCTCTTCTTGTAGCTACTTAGTGGGTGATGAACTATGGGTGGTCATGGAATACTTGGCTGGTGGCTCTCTGACTGATGTGGTCACAGAGACCTGTATGGATGAAGGCCAGATAGCAGCTGTCTGCAGAGAGGTAAGAAAATAGAGCGTTTCTAGCTGATGAGATTGCCAAAACTGGCAGTTCTTTATCTCTGATTATCCAGAATGCGTATAACATCGAAGTAATGATAGCACATCTTTTCTACGAAAAAATAAAACCAACTGGAGAACCTAACTTCAATTCAGATCCTTTCCTAATAGCACTTTTCCATCCTCTCCCTTCCCAGCCTGTTATTTATTTTAGTCCCTTCACTCTGAATCTTTTGAGTTCTATTACGTCATTCACAAGGTGCCACCTCTAAGCCTGCATGTTGTAGTCTCAGCGAACATGGGAAACACTGATAGTGGCATGCAATTTTTTACATGATTTTTACACGATAATCATTTTGTCCTGCATGTGCAACAGGAGCCTTGTAAAATACAAACCATTATAACCCCATCATTTCTGAGAAGGCAATTTAAGCGAGATCCTGCCTCCGCCCAGACAGTGTTTGCTTTCCCAGGACAATCTGGACATCCCTCCAAACCCTCCAGTGGGTCTGAGTGCCTGCCTCTCGTCCCATAACAGTGTCATATCCCTAGTTTCATGCAAAACTGAGGACATTTTATCATATTTTTCTCGGTACTTGAAAACACACTCCTCTTTGGAATCTCATCTCAGACATGACCATCTACCCCATCGTTGTGGTGAGGTTGTCTGCAGACACGAGTAGGAACTCTGACCCACTGAAACTTGGAAACCAGTGACAGGAAGACAAAACCAAATAACTGTAGCTAGTCATTTTTTTTATTATTATTTTAAATCGTTCACTTGAACTTCCTCCTGCCTTGCTCTCTTCTCGTCCCCATTTCCTCCTGGCCAAGCATGTAGATGTATCCACCAAACACAGGTATTTTCTATTCATGCAATGAATCAAACTTCTAATATATAGGAGCCCTTTCCACCCTGAGCCTGTGGTTTCCGTGTTGCACGACGCAAAGCCATTTCCCAACAAGTGACTATAGCTACTTCATAGCCTAGAAGTGGTTCCCAACCACGGCTGTCCATCACAGGTAGCTTGGGGCACTCATTTTCAATGCAGATTCCTGGGTCCCCCTTCAGGCCTCCCGAATCAAATACCATGGAGGCAGAAACTTACTGTGCCTGTTGTGTAGGACCAAGCCGAATCCACACCCTCCAGATGACTAGGTCAAAGCATGATTATTAATTGGTTCGTCTGGCTGTATTAAGGATTTAGTGCTATTTATCACACACACACCCCCACTCTTCATGTCCTAGTCTGACTCGGGAGCTTTTATAATGTATAATGCTGTTATAGCATTGATGTAAATGGTAACATGATTTCAAAATGATAAGACAACAGTAATCTATTTCACATGACAATGTAAATTTATACCTTTGCCCCACATTTATCTAGAAACGAAACTTAACATGGTTTTAAATTCTTTGCGATATAACTAGAACTTGTTTTTCTGATTTCAATAGTGCCTCCAAGCTCTGGATTTTTTGCACTCAAACCAAGTGATCCATAGAGACATAAAGAGTGACAATATTCTTCTTGGGATGGATGGCTCTGTTAAATTGAGTAGGTATTTTGGTTCAGATGGTGTTTGAAAGAGTATCGCGGGATTTCTGCTCATTTCCTGTCTGTCTTGAGAAGAAAGTGGCTATTGAAAGTGATTGGTTTGAAAGCATTTAGAGCCCCATTTGAAGTAAAGAATTTTTTTTTTTTCTAATGCCGTGTTCCTATAGATCGTGGCCAGATTCTGGGTGTTTAACATTTCAGAATTCCTAGGGACTGCCATCTGCTAGATGACAAATACCTAACTAGAAAACCGAAAGATCCTATAAGTTGGAGGGAACAGTAATGGGGAGGGAACCAGATTGAGGACTAGTAAAAATGACATCATGTTAATCGGTTACCTCAGACCCTTTTAAAATCAGGGCCACCAGAGGGATCAGGTAATAATGATTAGGAGCTAGGGAGTGGTGGAAGCTCTGTGTCGAATGGTGGAAGGGACAGCCATATGTGAAAGTGACCTATTGTGAAAAAAAAAAGAAGAAGAAATTGAATTGATTGTAACTGACTTTTCTTCCCTGCAGCTGATTTTGGGTTCTGCGCCCAGATCACCCCCGAGCAAAGTAAACGGAGCACTATGGTGGGAACTCCCTACTGGATGGCGCCTGAGGTTGTAACTCGAAAAGCTTATGGTCCGAAAGTTGATATCTGGTCTCTGGGGATTATGGCAATCGAAATGGTGGAAGGTGAACCCCCTTACCTTAATGAAAATCCACTCAGGGTAAGTCAGGAGAAAACTCAGGTACATCCTCCCTGGGAACGGGGCCAAGTGTCCTTTCTCGTCTCTACTGGAAGGGGCCAGAATGGGCTCTTTCCTGGGACAAGTGACATAGAAGCTCCAAGTTATGATTCTCAAAATTACTATGAGTTATTCTCAATATCTTCTAAGGTGTCCCAGCAGTTTTCCAAGTGCTTGAAGATCAGTATTTCTTTTTTTTTTTAAGATTTTATTTGTTTATTTGACAAAGAGAGAGACACAGCGAGAGCAGGAACACAAGCAGGGGGAGTGGGAGAGGGAGAAGCAGGCTTCCCGCTGAGCAGGGAGCCCGATGTGGGACTCGATCCCAGGACCCCGGGATCATGACCTGAGCCGAAGGCAGACGCTTAATGACTGAGCCACTCAGGTGCCCCGAGATCAGGATTTCTATTGGCAGGGGTCTTTAAAATTCTTTAGTACAACTTTCTGCTGTTAAAAAAAAAAATGCTTTTTTTTTTTTTAAGCAAGATATGGAAAGAAAAGTATTTTTATCATATGCCACGGTTAAATGATCTATCTAGGAAACATTTGCTTTATAATTACTTTAACAAAGTGAATAAATGCATTTCCAGAACACCTATAATTTTTAAATTAGATTTTGTCTCATTGTCAGTAATGATTTATTGAGCAGCAGTGGCTCGGTGGGTATTGAATGGAGCACGAGATAGACACAGCGCCAGCCTGGTGGAATCACAAACTTAATTAGACTGTCTAGTAGAAAATGAATGAAAATAGTTGGCGTTGGGTAACTCAGTTTGCTCCTGCAGAAACAGAGGTTTGATCCTTATGTGGTCTGGTTTCCTCTGCCAAGAGAGAAGCTCCATTTCGGAGCCTAACCCCACCATCTTTATTCGGAGATGAGCCATGGATCATGAGAGTAAAAGGCAAAGGAGTTATGGAAGAAATGCTCGCTCAGCACAGGAGTGAGCCAGTAGCTCTTTTGTTGTGCATTGCCTAAGGGTGAGCCAGAAGCTGTGTTGTATACTTAAAGGGCATTCCACTTCTGAAAAAGGAAATCTGCACAGATTCAAATTCTACTCTCAGAACCCAAGTAGCCTACCGGCGCCGACAGCATCTCGCATACTATCTGCATCATTACCACTGAGTCTAAAATTGAATTGTACCCTTAGTATAAAAAGAATTGGCCTTGGTCAATGGTTAAGTCTTTACACGGTCAGCTTATAAAATCCACATTCACACCAAATATATGTGGCTTTCTGTATATGTCAAGCAACCTACAAACTCATTGTCTCGTTTTTGCCGTTGAACATTTTGTAATTGGGAGCTACAGCCCCCGTGTAGGGAGCAGGGGACAGCCTCCTCGCCTCCTTCTAAGTCCTCTCTGGCACTTGGCCTCTTGTCCGAGTCCCTGTACTGATTAGGAAACAACAGAGAGGAGTGAATGCCCTAATGAATGCTACACGCTATTGCTCTGGTCTCGTGAAACAATCTGGAAGTGAGATGTGCACATTGATTAGCTGCCTGCAGGGCTGAGTGAAAAAGAAGGGGCATTTTCCCACCGTTTGTGGGTCAGCCCTCCACGAATTTAATCAAGCCCACCCCTGACCTATGGACCGAGCGCATCAGGATAATTACTGGGGCTTATCCTTATTGTTTAACCACCTTTGCCCATTAAGAAATAGCAGTGAAAGAACACATCAGGCCTCTTGTTTCCCTGGATTTCCTCCGCTAAGTCTTCGGAGTTTGGAGGCACTAAACGGATTACGGCTATTTTGCTTTCTGCCTTCTAATGAGTAATTTACAACCTGCAAAATTTAAGGATTAAATAAATGGCGCTGTAAAGCAACTGGTCTCAGTAATGCATTTATTACCTTCTTCAGTTCCCCAATTAACAATTGATCGCTCTTTAGCTGGGCTGTTAATTGTTAGAAAAAAGGAAACAAGTTTTAATCTTTATAGGCATCCTCTAGCCTAGGATTAGAACTCATAATGAACAGCTTGTCTCTTAGAATCCACGGCCTTGTATCTAAACAAGTACTTGCAGATTAACAAGCCGCCAGGTTCAGGAAGCCTACGTTAAGGCTATAACAAAAAGACCTGTCAGAAAGACCACCCTGTTGAATTCCACTGATAAGGACTTAGTCTAACGTTGCTCATTACTTTCCATGTGTGATCAACCTCCAATGACTCAATCAATCAACAAGTCCCTATTGAGCCAGCCCTCTCCCTCTCTGCTAGGTGCCACAAGTACTTTCTTAGTTTTGATTTCAGAGATGTTGCCCTCGTGTTCGCCTAAAGAAAACACAGCATCTCAGGCCGTATGCCCTTATTTGGGATTTGAAAAATGTAGTCACCGAAACCATGGAGGGGATGGAGAGAAAACGATCTAACAGGAGCCTGTAAGGAGCCTGTATTTTCTTGGATCCTGGTGACCAGGCTATGTGTGGGGGATTGGAAAATTGCAGAGCTTCAGGAGAGGTAGAAAAGAGAGGTAGGTTAGTCCTTCTTTCTTTGAAATCCTTCCACTACTACCATCCACCCACCCCTTTGGTCTTTGAGGAGGAAAGTGGGAATTACATAGAAGGAATACGGCATGGGTACAATAGAGGGTAGCACGTTGTTGTGAAAACTTTTGGCCCCCGTAGTCAGGTGGATCTAGCGTGTCCCAGCTCCACAACCTACAAGCTCCGTAGTGACTTTCCTTAAGTCACCTAAAACCTTTATAAACCTCTTTCCTTTGCATACAATGAGGATACCTGTCTTGCAGAGTTAGTGTGAAAACTAAATAAAATAATGCATGTAAGTCACCGAGCACAGTGTCTAGCTCATTGTAGGAAATACGTATATACGTATTGTGTGTGTGTGTGTGTGTGTGTGTACAGAGAGAGACATTATATGAATAGAAAGGTGAGAAAGGAAAAAGAAAGGATCCTTAGAGTGCTTTTTCCACATTCATAAAGGGAGATTGGATTCCCCACTTCTGCAAAAACTTCCCCTTCACACTGGCTACACTCTGATCCCCGCAAAGAGTAGAGGGCTCTACAGAGTCCATTAAAATTACAGTGAACAGGTAACACTGAACAGGACAGGTTAAAGGTGCAGATGGGCTATATCTTTGAAGCCTGTTTGCCTTTCATTGTGGGTTTGTTTTTTTTTTTTTGGCATGTGTCTTTGTTGTGTCCGTTGCAACCAAGCAAGTCCTTTGTGAATGTTGCCAGTTAACATATCATTCATGCAAGGAATTAGCTACTCCCCCCCCCAGTTATAAAGTGGTTGGGATTTTTTTAATGTAAATTGCTCTGTGCTAATTGACCTAATTTATTCATAAAATGCCTTTTAAAGGTCATAGAGTTATTAACTGTACTGATGTTATGAGGTTGGTACCCTTCCAGAGACAGAGAGGAGACAAGCTTCTACCCGTCCCCCACTGCCTGAAGTCTTTGCACTCAACGTGATTGGCCTTAAACATGTTGTTCTGTGGCCCGTGGACATTTTTAGTGCGGTCTCCAATAATAAAGTGCCTTGTTCTTTCTATTTGCCAAAGTGACCAGGGTTAAAATCAAACGTCCCCTGTGGATACACAAATCAGTGTTAGCATTCTGCTCATCTCCCCAACTTTTTTGTTAATTGGAGATATGTTCTCTAAAACCTGTGATTATAATGACCTGATTCTAAATAAAGAGGTACAATCATCTCCATAAAGCAAATCTTGGGTTTGTTTTTCTCAGCACCAAAAGAGTGCCTCTTTATGAACTTTGCATTCACAGGTAATTGGGCTGTTCTTGTCAATGGGTTTTGATGGAATCTAGCATCTGTGAAATGTCTCCATGACATCCAGCTGAAGTTCCTACTGGACTGTGGGTGGATCCCTTTTTTATGTGTACTTTTCCAAACCTTTATCCTACTTGAAATGAACGTTCAATGTTGTCTTTCAGCCCTCACTTTAAACATCGACGAAACAGTAGCAAACATTGGCTATTTGGAAGACAGTTCTTGGTATTAATAAGAGACCCCTGAATGCTCAAAACAGTAGTATAGTGTGTAAACCACTGATCCTGTACCAGTGGGTCTACTCCTTGGTGGTGCATTGGAATCACTTGCGGAGCTTTAAGAAACAATGATGTCAGGTTCCCACACCAAGGACTAAACTAGAAACAAAGCTCTGTGGCAAAGCCCTTTCTAGAACCCTGTCTAAACTGGAGAACAAGTCTTCATCAGTCCTCTTTGAGCATGGTCGTTCAACCAAAAAGAGTACACTCTTATTCGGTCCACATTTCTCCATTTCATATTTCATTGATATATAATTATATATATATATATATCACTCTGTCGAAGCCTTGTTGAAATCCTGATGCACTCTACAGTGCACTCTACGGCATTCTCTGGCTTAGCAGTCCAGGAACACTATCAAAAAAGAAATGGCATTAGCTCAGCAGGTACACTCATGATATGCCATTTCTTTTCCAATTTTACTTCTCCTAAAAAATAGAGTTGATCGTTAAATGCGCAAGCCACTGAGTACATAGCACATATTGGTGATAATAAAGCTATCAGTCTGACTACCCATGATTAGGAGTGCATTTCCTGTATGGCCAGAGAGAAGGAAGGGCAGGAATCTAAAATCATCAGCCCTCAGTGTTGTCTACACTGTGAGGCTTCTTAGTCTCCCTTTATGCACACTTAAAGCACTACACAAGTATTATTTTTTTACTATCGAACTAAGGGAATTCTGGTTAGCTTATATGTCTAGAAAAGGGAGTTAAGCAGAAGGGAATCTCTAGCAACTAAAAAACAGCAACTAAGGGCCAAAGTGTTTCTAGCTCCTCCAACCACTGGAACCTGTGTTGTGGATTGGAATGTCTGGGTTTGATGGCGCGTGCTCATTTGGAATTAAAGTCAGACATAAACTTCCTGAGCGCCAGAGAAGCAAGCATACTTTGCTAGCACTCAGTCAATATTGTTTTGAATGTATTTCAGGAAGAGCTGGGAGCAGTCCCTTCTTT